GGTCCGAGGGCTGCGCGCGGCCGCTGGAGCCGCCCGGGCACCCTGAGGGGCGCGTTGAGGCGCGGGAGTCTGGGAGCTGCGGTTTTTCTTTTCCTGGTGTTGCGTCGACTGAGGTTGTTCTCCTGAACCCTCGGCGGTGAGCGGTGGGGCTCGCACGGTGCCTCGCCGCCCGGCTCTGCTTTCTGTTACTGTTTGCACCGAGCAGTCGTGGTTCTATGGGGACTTTGAGGCAGCCTTTTAGGAGATTAAAGGGTGACCGAGAGTTGGGAATTGAGGCAGTCAGCCTAGAAAAAGTAACGGATTTCACCTCTGGTGGGATTTATGGTTTTGGCGGTCCAAGTGCAGTCAGCCTGGCCCGTTAGGGTTTTCCGTTGCTAGACAGACAGTTCCGTTTGTGGTCGTTAGCCAGAGGTGCAGAGAGGTCCCAGCCTCCTGGGCTCAGAGAAGATTGTGTTAGGTGTAGTTGTGGCGCCAAGTTCACCTTGAATCCTCACTGCCGTTTGCTTATTTGCTTATGCTATAAATTGCATGACAAATGTGAAATAATTCGTCTCATGTACTCCTTACAAACTTTTTTATTTTCTCCTGGTGGATGTGTTTACGTGTTTAACTTTTTGATTAACACGCACAAAGCTCTAGTTGGAATACAAGGTCTGGTAAAAGCTTTGCGCTGTTACAGGGACACGTTTTGTGCTGTGTCCCGTTTTTCCTCCCCACGTGTTTACTTTGAACATTTTCGCATGTACAGAGAAGCTGCAGGAAGAGTGCAGAGAACCTCATAAACCCTTCAACTTCGTGCTTCGTTTTGCCATTTTTTTCCATTAGAGACCAACCCGAGAAGGGCTGTACTACTGAGCTACATCTTTTTAATTTTTAATTTTGATACGGGGTCTCACTAATTTGTCTAGGCTGGCCTTGATCTCATGATCCTCCTGCCTCAGCCTCTCAAGTACTGGAACTACAGGCGTATGCCATCATGCTAGCCTTTGTGCCTCATTTTTTTTTTTTTGGTACCAGGAATCAAACTCACGACCTTGCGCTTGCCAGGCAGGCGCTTGTGCCACTGAGCTGTATCCCCGGCTGTGCCTCATTTTTGTGTGGTGTTTTCTCTATATATTTATTTATTTTGCTCTGATGTTTTTTAATATATATGTATTTATTTTCATTGACCTTTCGAGAGTTAATTGTAGACATGATAACATTTCAACGCTAACAGCTCAGCAAGTGTCTCTACGAACAAGGACATTCTACGTAACCAAATATCAGCATATTACTGGTGTGTTCATACACCTACACATACATGATGATACATAATCATATATTTAGGAAATCTGATGTTGTTGTAAGTCTGATATTTAATATGCAGTCTGTATTTAAATCTTTCCAGTTATTCCAACAACATCTTTATAGGAGTTTTTACTTTTTCTAGGATCCAGTTGAGAATCACAGATTGTGTTTTATTGTCAAATGTTTTGATCTCCTTTAATGTAATACAGTGCTCTTCCGGCCTCGTGTGTCTTTCATGACAGTATTGTTAAAGAATCCAGGCTGGGTATTTTACAGAGTGTCTCCCAATTTGGATCCGTCTGATTATTTCCTTATGATTAAGGTTTGTTGTTGCTCTTGTTTTTGGTTTTCTGAGACAGGGTCTTGCTGTGTAGATCAGGCTGGCCTTGAACTCACTACATAGCCCAGGCTGGCACCTCCAACACGCGGCAGTCCCCTTGCCTCGCCTCCCGAGTGCTGGGATTACTGCTGTGTGCCACCACGCCCTGCTGATTGGTTTTAGCTAACATATTTTTGTAAGGAACATCAGGTGATGTGTCCCTCTACAGAGCGCCTGCTGCCAGCTCATCACAGGTTGGATGAAGTGCAGTTGGTCACTATGTTGATCCGTCCATCCTGTCTGTGGGACCCTGCATGCTCCACTCCTTAGAGGCAGCTGCTCTGACCGGCCTCCCAAGTCAGTGTGTCTCTGTATGTAAGCGTCTGTGTACAAATGCATCTCTCTCTCTCTTTTCAAGGGACTGTTAGCATTATCTATAGGTGATGTATATATACATATAAGTATGTATATATAATTTATGTTTTATGATTTGTAGTGTTTAAACTTGTGATCTTTGATATATCATATACTATTTAACTTTTTTTTTTATTGAGACAGGGTCTCACTATGCAGTTAGGCTGGCTTTGAATTCACTATGTAGCCCAGGCTGGCCTGGAACTTGTGGTGATCCTCCTGCCTCAGCCTCCTGTGTGCTGGAATTGCATGCTGCCAAGCAATTGGCAAAAAAACACGTGTTCTTTTTTTTATTTTTTATTTTTTTGTCCTTTTGAGACAGGGTCTCATTATGCAGTTCAGGCTAACGTTGAGCTCACTTTGTAGCCCAGGCTGGCCTTGAACTCGCAATGATCCTCCTGTCTCAGCCTCCCGAGTGCTTGGATTACAGGTGTGTGCTACCTCGCCTGGTTATTCACACATGTTCTTTTGGGTGATTGTGTTGGTAGTTTTCTTACTTGCCTTAGTGGTGACATCTTGATTTTTCCTGTTTTCTTTCTACCTTAAAATTCAGTCTGAGAATTAGTGTAGCCTTTTATCCCTCTGGCTCAAATTCTGACAGTTAATTAAAGTTTGTACAAGTAGCTATCGTGAGAGAGCACTTCAGAACAAGAAGCCACAGAGACAGAATCACAGAGGTGGGATGAACAGGAAGCGAGCAGTGGTGAGACTGGACCCGTGGCTGTGGCGGTCAGAGATGGGGCTTACAGTGCTGGGTGACCGTGTCCACCTTTACTTAGGGTTTTCGAGGTGTGCTTTCTGCTTTGTTTTCTAGACAGTGCCCAGGTATTTAGGGATGCATCAATCATTCTGTAGAGTAGTACTTTTCCCTTTTTTCCCTAGATTTAAAAATTTTTTATTTTCCTTTTTTATTGAGACTTACATAGTGAGACCCTGTTGCAAAAAACAAAAACTGTTGGTTCTAACCTTATCATTGGCGCCCCCTGCCCCGCCCTGTACTGGGAATTGAACTCAGGACCTTGTGCTTGCCAGGCAGGCGCTTGTGCCACTGAGCTACATCCCTGGCC